CCTCAAATCAACAGCTAGACAGTTGGAGCGTGAACACGGCGGCATACATTACATCAAAACTGGTTTTGGAATGGATAAAGCTAAACTAACATTAAGCTGCTAGAATGGTTTTCCCAAAGCCCCAGCCTCAACCCTGTTGAAATTTTTACAAACTACACTTGAAAATCAGGTCAGTTCAAGAAAACCAACCAATTTAAACAATCTCTACCAATTCTTAAGAGAGGAGTGGTCAAATAAACAAGTAGATTTATGCCAGAAGCTTGTTGACAACTACCAAAAGCATGTGATTGCAACAAGCTAAGGTAATTTTACCAAATATTAATGGGGATGTTTGTATATATTTTGGCCTGTGTGCATACTTTTGACCCTGTGTAGATTAGAGAAACTCCAAAATCATTTCAATCTTGTGCCTCAATTCTTAGTTTTTCAAACTTTTTCAGGCTGTATGCTGTAGAATTATTCCACCCTGTAAAAAGTTCAAATAAATCATTTAAACACCAACATTAACATCACAGTCATGCAGCAACACAGGAACCACCAAGGCTCAAGCCTGCAACATTATGGAAACTGCTGAAACACCAGCGTCACTGTCCACAGTGAAGCAAATGTCACGTAGCCTCGGACTGAGAGTGTATCAATCAAGAAAGACACAAGAACTACGAGTGTATGCAAACTTCTGACCAGAGCTGTAGTAAGGCTAACAGGAAAGGATTTTTACTTGTACTGAAGTATTTTTACAGAGTCACGTGTTTTGCTGCAGTAAATCCAGATACCAAGATTTTCTTTTAAAAGCCTGAGGTAAACTTTAAAACATCTGCAAGGCATAATGCATTATGTGAGGGACATGTCTACCGGTAAATACAATATAATTATGTTCTGTACTGGTTGTAAATTGACATGCTCTCTGCGTAGTTACAGTCATCCTGCACAGGTCTGCAGTAGCTCTCTTGTCTTCCTGCAGCACGATGCTGTTGTTTTTTTCCCCTTATTGCAGTTCTGGAAGAGTTCCCGCTGCTGCTGCATTGATACTCTAGTGGAGGGGCCTGCAGAGGAGAGCAGCGAGCCTGCAGCCTGCCCACGTTATCTCCCACCCATGAAACGTCTCCACTCTACCTGCTGTGACCTTGCACCAAACCTTACCTACCTGTACGGGTTTACTAATGGAGGCGTGAATAATCCACATCAGTAATCCCTGTTAGTGTATATTTGAAATCCTATGATTATCTTATTCGTGACGTACGTGGGATTACTCCATTCAGCCTCACGCTGTTTAAACAAGCACAAAGAAATAACTTTGCTCACTCAACTTCTTATGAATAATACTTTAGTTTACATACCAACATGCATGCAACGCCAAGCCTACTGATTGTATCATATACTATAGAAATAACAGTAATAACATAATATTTCTATTGCTGACTATCTGAAGTTTTGCACAACTAACACAAAACAATGTATTTTAAAGAGTGTATGAACTTGTAAATTAAGAAACAGAAAAGGTGCAGTTCGTTATTCCCCCCAAATAAAACCTTTCTCAATAATCACAGCATCAACTTGCAAATACAAAAACACCGTTATTAGCATGTAAGGCAAATACTTGCAGTTAAAGCCCTTGGAATCGTAAATCTCTCCATTTCTTTTTCTTGTAAACGGAAAAACCAAATTTAAAAAAGTACTATCAGCAGCGGAAAACAAGCATGCATGGATGTGAGCAGATGTGAGTTGTCCCTGTGTCCTCTATCTGTCTAGCTGTACCTCGACTCAGGTGACAAGCTCTGTCACATGGCCTCTGCTGCATCCTCTTTAAAACTCACAAATCTCTCTCTTTCTTCTTTTTTTTTGTATTTGAAAAACCTTTTGTGACCATAGAGGCACCTAACAGATGGAGTCTGACAGGCAAATAAATAAATAAACCAATCAAATCTGTAAGTTAAGTGCTAAGCATTTTCTGCTGCGGTGAATAGTGCTGACACAAGGCATTGCTGAGCTGTTGTTGACTGATGGTCTGTACATTTATGGCAAAGAAGCTGCCGTGCTTTAAAAAAAAAATGACTGTACACACTCGTGTATCATAATGGACTTGCAGCAGAGTTTTAGCAGATTAAAGAACAAAATAACAATACACAAGATAGTGTGACTTTGTATGCACTAAATAGGGCATACTGCACATAAAATATGCTAATTCATAGCTCTGAATGGTAATGCGATGCAAGAAATCTTCACCTTACAAGACAAAACGACAGAAGAAACAAAATAAGAGTAGGGGGCAGCTTTTAATGATTACAATTAAAAGAAAAAGACATTTTAAAACAAGTCTGTGCAAACAAGAAGCTACTTTACTGCTTTCCTCACCCATTGTAAATCTCTCACGTTGCAAAATATGGTGTTACCCAGGAAAGAACGACGAAAGAACTATTTATGATCGGAGCTTTTAAATGTGTGTCTTACAGGAGACCTGGGAGATCTGTGGTTACGTACCCAGCCTCCACGTCACCCTGCACTGCAGAACTTTTCTCTGAGCTTCATAAACACTGTCAAAAGTGCCTGGGTGTGTACACCAATGGGGGGGTGAATGAGACGAGGAGTTGTCTGGGGCATTGGAGGGGGGGGGGGGGGGGGGGGGGGGGGGGGGGGGGGGTGCAGAGGTGAGGTAAGAGAGAGATGGCATGCAGCCAACTGAGAGGACAGAGAAAAGTTGGGAGTTAGCCGGAGAGAAGAACAGGGAGATTTATCTTCACCGAGGCTGTGCTGAGGAGGGATAAGAGCCGCGGCGTTTTCCCTGGATGTCTGTCTCTCGGTACTTCTATTTTTTTGCTTACATCCCCCCTCTCTTATTTAATTGTCGCTCTTCTTGGCTGGCACTGCAATGTGGCTGTCTCTGCAGTGAAAGTGCTGCCTGGCAGATTCTCCTTGAGTGAACCCTGGTTGCGCAGTGAGTGCTGCTCTGCCTCCGTCCTGTCCACACTGACTCAGCTGTGCATGCAGTTGGTCAGCCCCTGAGTGAGCACCAGCTGCAGGAGCAGGTAGGCAGTAGCAAAGTTAAACTGTGCTTATCATCAAGTCATGTTTCTTTTCACTCAGCATCCTTTATTTTTATTTATTTATTTATTTAAAAAAAAGGTTATTGTATGTGTAGGAGACTTGCATTTTCTGTGCACTAATATAACTTTTTACTGTACTGCCTGTGTGTTCATCACGCCAGATTTTAGTTAATTAACCTTTTTCCTTCCTTCTCCTCACCCTCCTCCTCCTCTGCCCACTGTCTAACCGACAGTCCCTTCTAAAGGAGTGCTACCCTGAAACAGCTGCAGGTGCAACACTTGGAGTACAAGCATCCACAGAGCAGCTTCCTGATTTTTCCAGTGGACAGAGAGTATTCTCCTAGCTTTCGGGGCCAGTGTTGGATACTGCAGCATCATTTGTTTTGGAGCAGCTCTAGCAGCCATGGAGGTCCGGTGGATTGGGGTTGAACCCGTGAGGCTGGGCCCTCCACACACAACCTGTGGCCTGGTCTTCTCTTTGCTGCTTGGTAATGTCTGTCTTTCTTTTTATGTCATATGATGTGTGCAGTGTTAGAAAGCTTCATCTTTTCCTCACATCTGTATTTATTCATGTGCTTAGGTAGAATAATGATGCTTTTGTATTTCTAGGTCTTATACTGACCTTCATCTCTGACCTATGCAGAGCACAACAATTTGTGTAAGAAATAAGAAACACTATGATTATTTTTGTTTGGGTTGTCCTTGTTTTTTTTGTTGTTGTTTTTTTTGCATGATGTTGCATTTTACATATTGCTCTGAGCCAGATGGAGTAGAAGTAGGACAGTAGGTGGAAGTCTTGTAAACTAACTGGTTTTGTTAAATTCATATGAGTCATAAAGTTTTGATGGCTTTTACAAGTAAGCACAAAGTAACAGTACAAGCCTGAGATTATTTATAACCAACAGATAGGTTCTAATGTGGCTTGACACTTCAAATAATCATTCAGAGCTGATACTTGATGCTGATACTTGTGCTTTGAAATACCCACATCCTTTTTAGAGTCATAACTTAATTTCTATTCATGCCTCTCTTGGGGCATCAGTGCAGCAAACACACATTAAACATTTAAAGCTCCCTTGTTTAAAACATCTTGTGTAGGAGATGTAAGCTGCAAGGTTCCCTTATTGTCCCAGTCCATTTCAAGTCCTGTAAGGTGCATAAAAAAGAATCTATTGCAATAAATATCCTGTGTTCCCCACTTTTAATACCAAATTCTTTTCTTTGCATTGTGTTACATTCACACACAGGAACAGATGAGTCACTGTCACTGCCTGGCCAAGTTTTTCATAAACAGATCAGCAATTTTTCACAGGTGTTCTTTTTTTTTCTTTTTTACAATGTAAAAGAAACGTTCAAGAAACACGTGCGGAAACTGCACAATAGGCCAAATCTGCAAATGCAGGTGGCCAGCAGCGAGAAAGATGCTACAGCAGTTAAACCATAGCTCAGGACAGTGATTATATTACAGGAGTACAGAATGATATTTGCCTTATGTAATGCATTTATTATATGATGTACTGTAAGGTGCTTTAGAAGATATGGCTAACAGCCTGAACAGAGAGAATAACAGTTTTATAGCCACATGTAGGATAAAGAGAGGCAGGTACTGTCTGTAATGGAAAATAGATTTTATTTTATTTCTGAGTTATTATTACTATCTGAATTATGACTTAGACAAATCATCTTATGTCTTAAGCATTATGGCATTGATGGGCTTCATTTTTAGACAGTGTTTAGTCAGAGCCTTTAAAAGGTATATGTCATTTTCATGGACAGTATGCGTCTTTATTTTACCTTCAAATAATGATCTGTTCTTGTCCCCACATAGCCCTCACAGTAGTTGGTGGTTTTTTGCATACATCAGTTAATAAAAAAAGAAGAAGAAGAAGAAAATGTTGACATATGTGGGTTAGAAACTGGAACACCAGTGTGCTACTTTTATCTGAAACACCAAGACTCACGAAACAAGTTTTAATGAACAGTTAGAAAAAAGACACAAAGTACAGTAGTTGGATTTCGAAGAGAGCAGTAAATACCAGAAGGTTTTCAGTGTGTCAGGGATAAAACAGAAAGAAGATGGTTTTATTTATTTCCTGATCTTGT